CCTCACAGAGAGGACACCCCTCATCCTCTGTACAGCTGGCCGCTCTGTGCCCCGGCAGACCACAGCGATAACAAAGATCACTGCGGTCGACCTGGCTGGAGCACAGAGCCCTGCAGTGCCCAGGCTGGAAACACCTGTAGCACTGCAGGGGGCGGGGGCGGAGTGCACGCACCCTCGCCACCACCCAGCCCGGCAATTTGCCTGCTTTAATCGCCTTGGCCGCCGCCTCAGCTGGGCAGGGAACCAAGGCGATTCCACCCACGGGCTGGGAGCAACGCAGGGATACTACCCTAACACCACTCCCGCCACCGTACTCTGCCACGAACTCTTTCGAGATGTCGTCCTCCGTGGTGAACTTGTCCAATCCCGAAAATAATATCTCCACGTTTCGGGATGGACGAGCCACACTGACTCCTTCGGGGAGAACCTCTTTCAACTTGGTGGCAAGGAGATCCGCCTTGGATTTGCGGTCCTCCCCTCCCACCTCCAATAACAAGTGCCCCTCCAGGGTCCAACGGACCCTGGAGACGCCCGCCGACCTAGGGTCCACCTTATTCCTCGCGTCTCGAAGGACTTGGGCATACGACATGCCCTCCCCTTCGAGACGCAAGGTGACCGCCTCAGTACGCGGAAGTACTCTGCGGGGTGGCCGCTGGCTTGACGAGGGTGGGGTCAAAGGAGAGGAAGACTCCCCTCGACCGGCACCAACGGCCGTCCCCCCACCCTTTGTAGGCGCCTTGGTGGCCTTTACCACCAGCTTCTTCTCCTTCTTCTTCTTCTTCTTCTTTCTCTTCTTTGTCGGCTCTTTTTCTTCCGCCTGTGCCCTAACAGGAACAGGCGGGAGAATCGGAGATTTCTTACTAACAGGGGGGGGGGCGTCTCGGGAGCCCCCGCTCCAAAAGTTTTTGGAGCTCCCCCGAGACGGTGCACCGCACCACCCTCTCAATCTCCTCCAGCCAGGAGGAAGGAATCTGACTCTCTCTCCTGACCGGAGTGGAGCATGTAGCTCCTTCCGGCCTCGGCATGGAGACGTCGGCGATGGCACGCACCGACGTCTCCATATTCTCATGAAGCGCGTGAAGCGACCGGGAAGTCTTATTATGGACCCCCTCGATCGCCGCACGCGCCTCCACCACATCCTTCCTAATTTCGTTTAGGTCAGCGAGGTTACGGCAACTATGTTCTTCAATATCATCGCTGACCTGAACAATTGCCTCCATAATATTTCGCTCGGAGGCAACTTGCCTCCGAGCAACCTTCTTCTCTATACGTTCGGCTGCGTTGGCGACACTATTTTTGACCTTGTCGAAAGCCTCTCGGAAGCTGTACCGAGATTGGAGCTCTATCAAACCCTCAAGGATCCTCTCCCGGAGCTCTCTCGGCCTGCCCGCTTTTTCCTCCCTGGACATTTTGGAGCGACGACAAAGTCGCTCCCAAAGCTCGTCCAGGGAGTCAGCCACGTGGTCAAAGAGGGCGCCGATGCCCATCGTAACGAGGGAGCAATCGGCTACTCCCAAACCCTCTTGAAGAGCCGACTCCAGGCTCTTGTCAGCCTTGCGCTTTTCTCTTTGCTCAGCTACGGCGGTAGCAGATTGTTCAGAGGGGCCCGCCGTCAACCCCTCCTTCTGCCCTTCGTTGGATAACGACGCGGCGGGAGCAGGGACAGTACTCCCACCGTGCCGGCCCCTGAGTGTCCGATCACTCTGGGGCTGTAAGTCCTTCTTTGTCTTGCTGTCCATCATATTTTCTACTTAGTTGGTTTTACATCGGTGTTTTCCTTCACCTAGATCGGTTGGTAAACAAAACCTAACAAGCCCGATCTGCCCGGGGGTTGGAGTGCTTTTAAGGCGGCACTCACTCGCCTTTGTCGTGGATACTTCATCAGGTTTAATGGAGCACTTTATAGGCCGCTTAGTCCCCCCGAAGGGGTTATTCGCAGCTAACCTCAGTACTTGAGGCCGTTCCCCTATCCGCAACCCGGGGACGCGCTTGGTGGCAGTCAGCTCTGCCCTTGGTAGGCCGGGGCTGTCCCCCCGACTCCCAAACCGAGAATCCCCCCAAACCTAACCTAATTTAACCTAACCTAACCTAACTTAACCTGTTTTAAAACTATCAGTAATTGTCACGATGCACATTGTTTGTTATTTGTACTGTACTTACTAGTATCGTGTCAAACTGTACGGTTACGAATACTTCGGTGTCGAATTGTACGGTATTAAATAATCTGGTGTCGCATAATTTGGTGTCGAATAATACGGTGTTAAAATAAATCAGGTGTCGAATCGTTGAGTGTCAAATAATTTTTTTGTTTAATATTTTTGTGTCAAATCGTACTGTGATCAACAAAGAGACCTTATTGTGTATTAACTTATTGTAAGTTACATTTCTTCCAAATAATATCAATGCACTAAAAGATTCTTATTTTTTTAACACTCGATATCATTCCTATTTTTTATCACTCGACAAAAAATAGGAATCTTTTAGTGCATTGATCTTGGAAAAAATTTAACTTACAATTTGTAAAATTCTTTCTTTGTAAAATTCTTATTCCTGTAAATAATCTAAGATAAATGTTTACAAAAACGGACTCAGTCCCGATGACTTTGACCTTGACATATGTTGTCAAGGACATATCCCTGAGTAACAATTAAAAAGTTTTAGCCGCCGCTCGCTCTTCATTAAAAAGTTATGATTTTAAAAAGTTAAGTGTATTAAAGTTACGTATACTGTCTAAATACACCTAAATATGCATATTTTTATATATAGAGAATTTACAAATAAAATAGTACAAGTACGTTCAATTATTTATATTTAGAACTTCAGAAAGAACTTTGATATAATAAAGAACACGTGAGAATTTATAGGTATAAGAAGTACTAAACAGTAAAAGTGGTAAATATGTAAACATTCAGAAGAAACATTCACGTACTATGTTGTAAGCGTGTAAGCAGAGAGGCTGCGCCCCCCGCAGAGAAAAGGGCTCGACCCCTGCTCTCCCCTTTGCGGAAAAATAAGAAACAACTTCCGGTTACATGTCGCTTTATGTCGATAGTATATACATAGTTTTTGGCGACACTTAATCAGAAGTCGTTTTTTAGTTTTCCTCGAGGGGGGAGCAGAGGAAGAGGCGGAGCTCCCTATCCCCTGCGAGGGGGCGCAGCTTCCTTCTTGCCTATACGCTTACAACACGAACAAAATGTACATGATGTCGGAAAATAAAAATTTATTTCTGAAACTTCTATTGTTTGTAACTTTTTAATAAACAACGAGCAACGGCTAAACCTGTTTGATTGTTACTCAAAGACATGTCCTTGACAATATATGTCAAGCCTAAGATCATCGAGGCTAAGTCTGTTTTTGTAAACATTTAGTAAACAAATTTACTAAATAAGTAAATAAAATATCAGCATATCTTGACATTAGAATTATTTATTGTGATAAAAAATCCAAAGTTTATGCCTTCGCGTTTAGTCATTGCTATTGACTTTTACTATGTATAGTAGAGTGCACTTAAGGAGCTCACTGTCGCGCTTTAAATACAAACACTATGAGATCTGTTGAAAAAGTCAGTAAAGCAGTAGGGATAGTGAACTGCATGTACTACAGTAGTGCAGTATTATGACGCTTTTCAGACACTGTCTACAATAATTTTTAAACTTTTTACAAATCACAAATTTAGTCACTTGTACTACACTGCACTAGTGCATAGTAAACCTGTCGAGAGCGGTGCATTGGACATCGTTCAATTGAACACGTTACAAATAAACACAAAAGTTTTGACACGGTTCAATTAGACACGTTGCATGTAGACACGTAAAAAAATGCGCACCGTTTATTTGTACACAGAAAGATGCGCACCGTTCAATTAGACACCATTCAAATGCGCACCGTTTAATTGGACATCGTTTAATTGCACACTAATCATTTAGACACAGAACGATACGCACCGTTTAATTAGACACCGTTCAATTAGCCATCGTTCAATGAGACATTGTTCACTTAGACACCGTTTAATTAGACACCGGTAATTTGCGCACCATTTATTTGAACACGAAGAATCTTCGTATTTGAACGCTTAAAAGATTCATAATTTGTGTAAATATGTAACAGATGAAAAAAATAAAAAAGAAAGTAAAAATTGCCAATTATATGACAGTAGAAACACAGATAAGGTTTGGTTAGATTGTTTTGGGGAAAGGGTGTAGGGGAAAGGGCGGAACTTCTCCTTTGCCTACACGTGTACGATAATGTGTACTGCAAACATTTTTACTTCTGAAATGTACTACTTCTTTTTGTTTTTTAAAAAGTAGTTTTTTATGCAAGAATAGCTTTTATGCAAGTTTACTTTTTTTTATTTTTTTCCTATCTGTTACATATTTACACAAATTATGAATATCTTTTAAGCGTTCAAATACGAAGTCTCTTTGTGTTCAAATAAACGGTGCGCAAATTACTGGTATTTAATTGAACGGTATCTAAGTGAACGTTGTCTAATTGAACGGGGCGCATCTTTCTGTGTACAAATAAACGATGCGCAAGTGAACGGTATCTAATTAAACGGTGTACAAATGCACGGTGTTCAATTGCACGGTGCGCATTTGAACGGTGTCTAAGTGAACGGTGTACAAATGCATGTTGTCCAATTGCACGGTGCGTAATTAAACAGTGTCTAAGTGAACGGTGCGCATCTTTCTGTGTACAAATAAACGGTTCGCAATTTAACGGTGTCTAAATAAATGTTGGAAAAATTAATTCATATCTCAAAAAATTTTTTGAACTACTTTTTATGACTAAAATCTTAATACTATAATACTTTTTTAACGACTGATCAACGGTGCGCATTTTGTTGCGTGTCCAAATGCAACGTGTCCAATTGAACAGTGTCTAAGTGAAAACCACTTAAAACTGTCTACTTGTTTTTTTATCTGCGATGATAAAGCTATTATTGAACATTTTATATATAATTCCTATGTAACGTCATATATCTTTTTTAAATACAGGGCGATTCAGGCTAGCTTAGTGTTATACCAAGAGAGTACAACAGGATCTATTGGAGATACTACAAATTCAGCAAATATAAGTGAAAACGAAGACAGCGATTCTCTTGAAGGTACGGCAGAACAATTAAGACTAGCGTTGAAACTTTCCGAACAACAACAAATAGAAGAGGAGCAACGACGATTGGTGGAAGAAGAAACATTTCGTCAAGTATTGGAGTTATCTTTGACTGACAAGTAAATTTTTAACAGTGTGCAACAGTGATAAAAAAAGAAAGACACAAAGATGTATTATAGCACAATGTATGTATCGTTACGGACCCAGTTTGTGATCAGTATCCAATTGTTGATCAGTCGTTAAAAAAGTATTACAGTATTAAGATGTTGGTCATAAAAAGTAGTTCGAAAAATTTTTTGAGATATGAATTAATTTTTCCAACATTTATATCTTTTTTTGACTAATGTTTATGACTAAAAGTTTACTATAATACTTTTTTAGCTAATTGATCAAAAATTGAGTACTGATCAAAAACAGGGTCCGTGACAATATATGTATATACAGTGTCCTATTTGAAGCAGAACTATGATCTCAAGAATCTATTAGATCACAAAATGTTTCAGACAAAAGTTGTACGGATTTGACTAGGAAAATGATGATTTAAAAAAACTTTTTAGGCTCTCTAAATTCTAATAAGAAAATTACAGAATAAAGTCATACGAACCGCTTTTTTAGAATGTTATGCAGAAATATATAGTATATATATGTATACACATATGTATATATGTATTTACGTGTAAATTATTACACGTGAAATTTTGAATTAAAAATACAATTCTTAAATTCATATAAGATGCTATTTTTGCATCACATATATGATAGACCCCGAACACCCCCGTAACTAATTTTTAAAATATTGCAACAAAAACTCAGCCAGGAATCGAACCTGGAATCTCTGGCTTTCCGGGCCGTCGCCTTCCCTGTTAGGCCACCGAGGCACTTGGAGCTCGTCTTGCTATACTTAATACATGTATCAAAGATAGTTTTTGATAATAATAAACGCATTTTTATAAGACCGGCGTGATTTAAAGAAACTTTTCAGGCTCTCTAAATTCTAATAAGAAAAAATTACAGAATAAAGTCATACGAGTCGCTTTTTTTAAGATGTTATGCAGAAATATATAGTATATATATGTATACACACATATATATATATATATATGTGTATACATATGTGTATACATGAAAATGATGATATTATCAATTTTGTTGTAGATGGCGCCTTTAAGATGTTATTATGACGGTCATTTTTTAATGGAAGTTGATTTTTTTCTCGAAATAAATATTTTAGCTGACAATAAGACAAATACAACGGTTTTTCTATTTTTGAATTTAGATTATTTTTCACTGTGGTTTAGTGTTCCAACGTTTGTTAACTAATTGAATTTTAAAACGCTTTTACTCTTACAGAGTGTGTAACTTCAAACCGCTCTCTACTTCAGTCTCTCTCTCTCTTTTTCTTTCTGCTGCTGCTGTGTGTGTCACGACAGAGATAAGGACTCCGCGGTTTGTTACTTCCACGGCATTTAACCCATCAAACTCTCTCTGCTGTGTGTGTGTGTACGCGCGCGCGCGTGTGTGCGCATGACATCCAGTCAAGTGACTAGCAAGATCATCCGATCTCATTTCTCTAGATTTTTTTCTGTGGAGATTTCTGAAGGATGCTGTTGTCAGTCACTCACCAATCACTCGAGAAGATATGGAAAATCGCATCAGCCGTTCTGAACCGGGGTCCTTATCTCTGCTGTGACACACACACACAGTAGCAGCAAAAAAAGAGAGAGAAAAAAAGAGAAAGAGACTGAAGTAAAAGGCGGTTTGGGATCACGCATTCTGTAAGAGTGGAAGCGTTTTCATTCAATTAGTTATTAACATTGGAATGCTGTAACTCAGTGAAAAATAATCCAAATGCAAAAATATAAAAACCCTTGTATTTGTCTTATTGTGAGCTACAACATTTACTTAAAAAAAATCAACTTTTATTAAAAAAAATAACCGCCATGATAAAATCTCACAAATGGCGCCATCTACAACAAAATTGATAATATCATTATTTGTTTCTCTCAAATCCGCAAAATTTTCATCTAAAACATTTTTTGATTCAAGCATCGGTTCTTGAGATATATCACTGTTTCGCTTCAAATGAAACATTCTATATATACATCTGTGTATATACAGGATGTCTGAAAAATGTTGACACAACCGAAGTACAAAGGTAGATTAGATTACTCTGAACTGAAGTCATGTATTATTTTGCAAAATTTGCAATAATTATTAAGTGATTAAGTAATACATGTGATGTAATGAGCGCGTGGTAAGGGATGGTCTGGACCCTGTAGGCGTATATGATTTTCAGCTGTAAAGAAAAATGGCTTCATGTAATCTTCTAAGAGATAAAGAGAGCAAGAGGCGGAGCAAACAAAAGAGTGGCGAGTAACACAGCTTTTCGTGATTAGCTGATTTTCACAAATAAAAATACACGCCTACAAAATCCGGACCATCGCTTACCAAGCGCTTATTAGATCACATGTATTAATTAATTACTTAATAACTATAGCAAATGTTGCAAAATGATACATGACTTTTCGGTTCAGATTAATCTAATCTACCTTTATACTCCGACTGTGTCAAAAATTTTCAGACATTCTATATATATATATATATATATGTGTGTGTGTGTGTGTATGTGTGTGTGTGTGCGTGCGTGAGTAAAAAATTTTTTTCAGTTTTCCAAAAACTTTTCCTACTATTTATAAATTGGAAAAATGTGTTTAATTTGACACATATCTTTTGAGCGGTTATTTGGTAAACAATATTTATTACAAAGCAATAACAGAAATACAAAAAAGTTGAGGTATCTGTCATTTAAAATCTGGTTGAGCGTAAGAAGCAATAATTTTTTAAATAAAAATTGTTATTAAGATATATGTGTAGTTTTACAAGGCAGATAAAACATGTAGAAAGAAAATAGTAATTTTAAGTGTATAATTTAAAATTTGGTATTCCTTTTTTTAACTTTGTAAAAACTGAAAATTCGTTAAAATCGCAATTTAGTGGACAAAATTAATTGTAACATGATCTCTTTTTGATGCTTGTTCTAATTAGTTAAATGTTAAATTTATGTGAAATGGTGTTGTCATTTATTAGTTCTTATCATTTACAAACTAGTTGTTAATAAACAAAAGTTAAAGTTGCTACAAGATCCGAACAATTTGGAGTGTACCGCTTTACATTTAAAATGTAGTTCATTAGACAATTGTGTTTTACCAAACAGACTGTAAATAGAGCATGTAAATGTATAGTTTTACGTAGATTTTTTAAAAATCTTATTTTTAACAAGATTATGCAAAGCGAAGTTTTGCATTAAACTTCTATGCTATACTTTCAGGACATCGTCTCGTTCTTTTGTGATATCCTACATAAAAATAACAAAACTGGCAAAGGGGGATGAAAAATATTAAGAAGTCTACTATACAATTACAAGTTCTAATGTAATTATCATATCTTGCTTGTGAGTACTAAATTTCAACATTGAGAAATTTCAGTCAGGTTTTACTGATCTAGTATTAAATGTTTAATTTAACATTGGAAGGTTTAGTAAATATTATTATTCTCATTTATACTTTGTTAATTTTAAATTCACTTACAATTCACTTGTTAGTTAAAAATAGTATTAAGGAAAATTCTTCGTTAAAACGTGTTTTGCCTAATCACAATGGATTTTAACGGAATTTTAGTTTTGACAGTACCAACTCTATGTTAAATAAAATTTTTCAATAATATATTTTATTGAAAAAATATGTGAGAAGATTTTGAAGATTGTAATTATTTTTTGAGGGTTTTACAAGGGAATATCACAAACCAAACATTTTGACAAAACAATTACTTATAGTTTATATTATTTTGAATAGTTTTATTTTATTTTGATAAAACTTTGCATACATAATAAGGAGAAGATACAAGATGAATAAATAGGTTTTCAGTAGAGGTCAAAAAACAATTTTTAAAAAATGAAACGATTCTAGAAGATGAAATCACTCCTTACACGTAAAGCGACTTTTCAGTTGTTTTGATAATGATTGGAGATGATATCTCGAAAATAATTAGAAATATCAATAAATGTTTTATACGTAAGTTGGTACTTTCTCTATATATTTATATTAATAAAAGTAAAAAACAATTTTTTACATGAAAAATGCAACCTAAACTTTGTATTCAAACTTTTAGTTAGATGATTAGAAACGTTTTTACTATGAAACTTTTAATAGTCTAAAATAGGTTTTGATATCTTCAAACTTTTGAAATTAATCGAAAAAAGCGAAAAGCCGCAGGGCGTATAAAAAGTATCAGTACCGCAAAAAAGGTAAATATACAGAAAAGGAGAGCCTCCTCCGATCGGCTTCTCATTTACATATATTATTAAGATTATTTTCCTGAGTAACAATATGAAGATTTTAGCCGTCGCTCATTGTTTATAAAAAAGTTATGAACAAAAAAAAGTTTCATGTGTTATAAGTTAAAAGGGGTTGTTTGGTAATTACTTAGCGTTAGTTTAATTGCAAGTTAGAGAAGTAATTATTAAAATATTAGTTTTTATATTAAAGATTAATTGTTTCTTTAACGTGGCTCGTTTTACACCTTGAGGAACTGGAATCCGGCGCGGATGTCCAGTCAGCGATTGCTAGGTGATACGCGATAGCGCACCCAAGGACGCACTGGGCGAAGGTCGCACATTCGGCCAAAAAGATGCAATGGTTTGCACTGCACTTTTCGGGGACCGGATGTCGCCCGGTCTTCCTCAGCCAATCACGATTGATTGACTGAGAAACATAAGCCGGTGCCGGGGCGTGGGCAAGCAGAATCGATACGGGAAGTGTTGCCGCCGGAGGCTTTGCTCGGCAGAGCATCGCTACTTATACTCTACGCGTGTGATAGCGTGGGTGGAAATAATACAACACCGAGTCAAGAACTAAAGCAACAAGATTATAATTCCGTTAAGGCAAATAAAGAAAATCAAAACAAGAACAGTTCCAAAAGACAAAATCATTTCTTCTCGCCGTTCCCCTCCCTCGCGCCTAAAGAATCCCACGGGATAATACATGAATAAACTATCATTTTTCGACACTGTGTACATTTCAGAAGGAAATGAGTAATGTTTATGTTGCCAACAATGTGTGTATATGTAGCATACCCCGAAAGTTTCTGTTTTGTTTTGATTTCTTCGTTCGTAATCGCCTTTTTGCTCTATGTGTAATTTTGATACTAGAATTGATGTCTTTTTCGACATAATGAGTGCAATGTATCCACTACATTAAATGTGAGATGTATTTATGTTAAAATATATGTGTTACACACAAACATATTTATGAGTTGAATTGCTATACGATTTAATCAATCAATCGCTTGTGAAAAGTTAAGAATAATTAAAAGGCCGATACGAGCAGTAAATACAGGATGTGCGTGTATAAATATAAGTCTTTATTCCAAAAAACACATCTGTTTCGGTTCTCAAGTTTGGACCTTCTTCAGTGTAATAAACATTCAATTAAAAAGCAAATTGTGATCTAATTTGCTTTTTAATTGAATGTTTATTACACTGAAGAAGGTCCAAACTTGAGGACCAAAACGTATGTGTTTTTTGGAATAAAGACTTATATTTATACACGCACATCCTGTATTTACTGCTCGTATCGGCCTTTTAATTATTCTTGCTATACGATTTGTTTTCATTTCTTCGTTGTAAGCATGTAGGCAGGGAGGGGCTGCGCCCTTCCGCAGATGGAAGGGCTTCGCTCCTCTACCGTGTTCCCCCCTCGAAAAAAAATAGAAAACGACTTCTGATTACAGCTTCATGTCGATAGTAAGTACGTGATTTTTAACGACACTTAATCAAAAGTCGTTTTCTACTTTTTTTCGAGGGAGGAGCAGGGGGGAAGGGCGAAGCCCCTCCACTTGCGAAGGGGCACAGCCCTACCCTGCTTACATGCTTTCACCACACAAAAAATGTACATGTTGTCGGGAAAAAAGATTTATTTATGAAACTTTTTTTGATCATAACTTTTTTATAAACAATGAGCGACGGCTAAAACTTTTAGAAACGTACTCAAGAAAGTCATATTTACAATATATGTGAACGAGTAGCCAATCGGAGGGGGCTCCCCTATTCTGTATATTTACCATTGATTGTATCAGTGTGACCTTAGATGGCGCTGTCAAGGTCACATTGATTTGTTTAAATGGAACTCTATTTTTATTGCAGATTTTTATAGCTCACTTCAATAGCTTTCCAAAAAACACTATAAGAAAGTTCATTTTCATTAACACGTTAAGCGCGAAGCCGATTTTGCTGAGCTTTCTGTTAGGCGGCGTGCCGGCGCGGCAGCGACCACTCGACGAGTATTGGGTATTTACAGTATTTACAGAGTATAGAAATGACGGAAAAGTTACTGTCATTTCCCAGAAACTAACACCGCGCTTAACATGTAACGTTCGCGAGTAGTTAAACTAGGAAGGTTCTGGATCAATATTCCCATAAGTGACGTCACGCGAGGGGAGGGAGAAGGAGAGGGAAAAGGAGCACCGCTCCTTTCGGGGAAAGGGAAACCGCGCAAGGGGGGCGTTTATTAGTGATCAATAATCGAATATTATTGATTCGATTATGGATTATTATTGGTTGATTATCTTGATTAACAATTATCGATTATTATTCATTCGATTAGTATTGTTCGATTATTGATTCGATTATTATTGATCGACAGAACTTATTATTGATCGGTCTGTTTCACGAGGCAAGAGGAGGGAGTGGGAGAGATCATTGGAAGTATATTTGTAATATTGAGAGCAAGAAGGATCTGAGGACTTGGGCGTTGCGGATACGATAACGTAAGAGTATAGGTGGCATCAGCAAAGCGTTGTCATCAGCTCTATCGGAACTAGTCAATTAGCGACAAACCGTAAAAATGGAGCATGCATTATTCGACGTGTTTTATTTATTTCAGGTAAGTGAGCATTATTAATGACGTTATCAGTCGTAAAGTGTTGGAACTTGTTCGTACGTGTTCAAAGTCGTTTGGAGCGGGCGCGGACGTGTTCGAGCGTGTTTAAGGTCGTTTGGATGATGACGTCATCGCTAAAATAATATTAACTCTCAATTAGATATTTATAAATTGCGCAGTAAAATAAATAATTCCGAGGAAAACCGCAATTTCCCGGAAGTGGTTTGTAATTGCGCAGTAAAATAAATAATTCCGAGAAAAACCAAAATTTTCCGGAAGTGCTTCTTTTCTTATTGCCAAAGCAATGAGTCACTTCCGGTTTGATGAGTCATTTCTTGCGATAACATTTGCATAAAAACCGTTACGTACCGGATGTGGTTTTTTTCCGCACTTCCAGTGCGCGCGTAATTTAGTTTTTTAAAATAGACGCCCGCAAAAAAACCGTTATGTTCTGGATGTGTTTATTTCTCGAGGACTATCGGTTAAAAAAGTTTTCAAAATTAAACAATGTTTTAGTGAAACGCATATGTAGTTAGGAATGTGAAATAAAACACACCATGTTAATAAAGAAAATTACGTAGCAAGTTTTTTTATTATAATCTGTAAAAATACTGTTACATACATGAGAGTGAAATAGTAATAATAATATTTATTAAGAAACAACACGTTAACATACAGCTAACAATTCGCAATCGACAATATTGTTGATATCGAAATCACTGTTCTGTGGGACAGCATTTGCGAAGCTCGCGGGATCTGATATTTCAGACTAAATCGCGAAATATCGCGACAATCTTTCTCGCACGCGAACAACAGCGTCGTTCAAGTAGGTGACGATGCACGCAACGCAATGTTTTAAGTTNAACAATTTGCACATCGANTGGTGGAACAATATTATGCGGCTGGTCTTCGTAGTCAGACGCATGTTCTTGGCGTTGTTTATCAAGCTGAACGATACCGCCAGATTGTCAACAAGAATCGGCGGCTGCGCGTCGCTCTGCCCCAACAAATACGACGTGATGATTCGTTCGTTGTCCAACATAACCTTCTACATTTCTGACAACAGAAGCACTTCGTTTCCATTGTTGTCGCCTAGAGCCATATCAACGGTTGGTGGTGCATCTATGTATGATGAAATACCAATGAGTTCGAAATACTTGTATTTTGTCTTGGGTAAGATGTACTTGCGACTCAGTACCCGCGTACACTGTGCGAGTGCGTTGGATATAATCGGTGTCACCTGAACGCCATCGCATTGTCTGTGAAAAAAAACTAAAAACATGATTTTATTGCGAATAAAAATAAAAAAAAAGAAGTTAAAAAAAAGTACAACTAAACAATAATACTTTTGATGGAACTTCTTTTTCGTCGCACCGTTATGTTGAGGCGCGCGCTGAAGATCGACGGAAGGTTGCTGTTGCTTCATTGAAACCATCGAGCAAAACATCGTCGAGCTAATTTGTTGCGAAGAGAAGTAGGAAGAAGAGCCACAACTCCTAGCATACAGAACAATCGCAGCGAGACTGATTGTATGGTTGTCATGTAGCGGTTTATATATCTTTAACATAAATGAGGAAATTTCCTTCACTCTCGACACACACACACACTATATCTACCTTGAATAAAGAGCGTGTTCGTACTTTTTGAGTTGAGAAACTAGGGACTTTAAGTTGTATAAGATGTTTATATCCGGACAATAAATGTTAATTAATTTCATATTGAAAGGGCCCGCAGAATGCATGAAATTGATGAATTTGCTGAACGCGAGGTATCTCTCGGAGTACAGAAAGTACACATTGCCATCTGAATTACGGAAGGTCAGCAACATATTTAGTGGAACTCCTGGAAACGTTAGTTTCAATTTGCTGTATTCTTTAATTCTCAAGTGACAATCGTCTACAACGGCCACGGAGTCGTTGTTGAATATGATGTAGGTGTGTCCCATAGGAGATTGAAACGCAGTATTAATGACAGCATTGCTAGGCAATCTCAGATAAACTGCGTGCCAACCGTCTTGCATTTGTAAACTGGGATAGAAAACCAAATACACGTAACTATTGGTGAAGAGCACGAGCTTGCCGGATGGTCGTTGAAAAGCCGCATCCAACTTTGTAAAATTGGATAGGAGAAAACGCAAGTATTCGGTTAACAGACGTGGATAAATATGCGGACTCCCAGTTCGCAGAGGCTATATACACGTATTTATCTTGCGTAATGAACGTAACGGTGTTCGTCAAAAGTATTGCGTTGGGATTGCGCACTTCGCACGCATTCCTAAGTGGTAGCGGCTTGGGTTTACGCGGCGGCGACGGCGGCTACGGCGTCGTTGTTGTCGTCGTAGTCGGCGCGATCGTCGGAGAGGCAAATGTAGAGACTGGTGGTAGTTCAGGTGCATCCGGGTTAGGTCCATAATGGTTTTGCACAGCCAGAACATCATCCAGGCTGAGCGTAACAGGCCACTGTTTAACAGGCACAAACGCGTACATTACCGAATCGTTGTGCGGACTGTGCTCTATTCCTATCGCATGGCCGATCTCATGAGTCAGCGTGTGCAACAGATGATCCTTATTCCATGGATTTTCAGTGAGCTGCACGTGCCACTGTTCCGCATTGTCGATATGTACCTCAGATACATGTTCGAGATCTCCGTTGGGAAAATACGCGTGAGGGAGTACTCCACTTCGAACATCAAAGTCAAACGGGCACATACCTGAGTAATGCTTGTCTAACATAGTGTGCCGTCCATCTTTATACGAAATCATTATGTTAGGATTGTGCATGCTGCGTGTAAAAGTTAGCGAGGAATTCGCTGCCCACAGAGCGAACGCTGCTTCCGCTATTTGTAGATTCGCTTTAGAGACGAACTGAAAATTTTACGTGAGATGATTCGTCGGTCACTTGTGCATGTGCTCTTTGTTCGTGTGACGCGTCTCGACGCGAGCGACGTCATCGTCTTCGCGCGCGAACTGATACTAAATAACAATCAATTGCCGTGCGGTGGCGATCGAAGAAGAGAGGGTGCGACAAGCGCAATATTTTACAGAACAAATAACAACAATGTATGTAGTATGTGCAAATAAAAAAAAAGGTTGTTACACGCATGACAATATATATATTTAGTACAAGGAAAACCGCAACGCGCGCAAGACGGCTGCAGCAGAAGCGTCAACGACGCTGGAAGTCGCGAGAAGTTTTATATAGAGTTGCATACGGAAGTTGCGGCTGATCTCGCAAATGCAAGACACATGCTAAGAATAATGCATAGTCTTAATCAGAATGCTACGGATACTGCAATATGCGGATACTCCGACTGACTCTGGAGACGCTCTACTGTTCTCAGTATTGTTTCTAAAAAAAGTAGTTCTGATTAGAACGTCCAGCAGGATGTTTAAGCATCCACAAAAAATCCGTTAAACCACATATTGTTAATGAATTTGATTTTTGCGCAAGAATACGAGTGGACGTGCTGGGATATGCATCCGCTGCAACAGCATATAAAAACAAAGAGATGCAGAGCGCGTATGCAGAAAATTTTCTCCGTTAGTGAGTCTAAGTGGTATTGTCTAAGCACCAGCAATATGAATCCAATCGAAGATTGTGTGGAGGCTGCGGACCGTATAGTAGCTGCTGCTGAAACACTTGTTCAAAAAGCGAGACTGCTCGCAAATAGTATTCGAAAAGTGCAGAGTATTGCCCAAATATCCGCGAAACAACAAAGCGGATACTTTTTCACAATCGCCTGTAATTCTACCGAAGAGGCGATAATGTTACAGCAATTGTAAGTAAACTACAGTGTTACATATATTAAATAGAATGAAGAAAATAAAATTAAATACAATTAAATAAATTAATTAAATACATTAAATACATTAAATAGTAGTAGTAGTAGTATGCGTTTATTGATTCCCCTTGGGGTTACAAATATTTACAATGTTTACACGCAAAACTTATATCTAACTTACATCTACCTTATACTATCTTACAATTTAACTTATACTAAAGACCTCTACCTATATATACACACACACGCCACCTATTCTATACCTAATCCTTACTCCTATTCAGGACCCCCGCTTCCGGTTCTTGCTTCTTATTTCCATACGTCAAAGATTCCATCCATTCCTCCAATCATTCATCACACGCCTCCTCTGGCCTCCCTTCCCTCTCCCCTCCTCCCTCCCTTATTTCCTCAATTTTCCTTAGCCATCTCTCCCCCTCCCCATCGCTCCCCAGCACCACTTCTACCATTTCCTCCCAGCTCCCCTCCGCTCCCCAATCACCACACTCTTCCCATACGTGCCTCCAATTCCCCTCCCCCTATCCACATACCCTACATACCCTTTCATTTTCCCCTGCCCAATACTTCCCTCCCCTCATTTCATTTCCTAACCTATAACCTGCTACCCTCTTCCATCTACTCTCCCCCCAACCCTTCTTTAAATATCCCGGTATCCCCTCACCTTTTATCCTCTTGTACCATTTATTGAACCTTGAATTTACTATCTTATTCCAGTCTTCCTTCTCCTGCATTTTCCTTTCTCTTTTCATCAACACATCTAAGTTCCACTCTCTCCTCTCTTTTAACTCCTTCCATTTTTCCATACTCATATCCTTTTTTTCGAAAAACTTTATCCTTGCCCTCTCCCATTCTGAACGCTCCCCATCTTTTATCGCTCTTTCCTTAATCTCTTCCCAACACCTCCTTGCAATCCCACTTCCTTCCCCTCTTTCCAGTCTTTCCTCGAATCCAATCGCCCTCCAGCCTGCTCTTCCTCTCAGCAATTCCCTATGCAATTCCGCCCTCACCATATATCCCGGAGTGTTCCATCCCACTCCCAGCACCCATCTTATATACCTCTCTTGTAGGCTCTCTATACTCCTCCACTCTTTCCACCCCCAAATCTCTACTCCATACCCCACCACCGACCACACCAAGGCATCAAACAGCCATAACCGCCTTCCCCAGTCCCCCCCAAATCTTCTTTTACCTATACCCCATACCTGCCCCATCACCGCCGCCCCTTTCCTCACCCTCTCCCTCACCTGAGCATCCATCCCACCGTTCCTCTGAAACACGAACCCCAAATACCTGAATTCCTTCACTTCCTCTATCCTTTTTCCCTTCCACCACCATTCCCCTACTTTATCCCTCCCCCCCTTCCTGCATCTCAACACTTTCGATTTTTCAACGTTTACTTCTAGTCCTTTTTCTCCCACATATCTCTCCAGCACTCTCAGCATGTTCCTCATACCCTCCTCTTCCTCCGCCATCAGCACCACGTCGTCCGCGTATGCCAGAGAGTAAATTCTCCCTCCCTTCAACCTTACTCCTCCCCAGCCCCCTTTTCTCAGCTCCTCCTCCAGATCCGATACCAGCATATTGAACAGTACCGGACTCAGTGGACACCCTTGCCTCACCCCTCTTTCCGTCCAGAACTCCTTCCCCATCTCTTCCCCTATCCTTACTCTGAATCTCGTCTCCCTATATAACTCCCCACATTTTTTCACTAGCCCTTCCCTCATACCCCTCTCTCTTAAAACCCTGACCAAGATCTCCCTATCCACCGTATCAAAGGCTGCCCTTAGATCAACAAATAACGCGATCAGCTTCCCCCTTTTCCTACCTAAATTCCTGTTTACCAGGTAATTTAAGGCATACACGTTGTCCATTGTCCCCCTTCCTTTCCTGAATCCTGCTTGATTTTCCGGTAACAGCCCTTTCTCTTCTATGTCCCCCCTCACCCTCTCTGCCAGCACCTCCGCATAGATTTTGTACAGCGTACTCGCTAACGTTATCCCTCTGTAGTCCTCCGCTTTTTTCCCTTCTCCCTTCTTTAGCACTGGTACTATTATTCCCTCGTCNCATTCCTCTATCCATCCTTCCCCTCTCCATATCCTTGCACATAGCTTCCATATCCAATTCTTCACCCCCTCCCCTCCGTATTTCCACACCTCTGCTGGTATCCCATCTCCCCTTGTCGCTTTCCCAGCTTTCAACTTTCCCAGAGTCCTATTTATTTCATTCCTTGTTATTTCCTCCTCTCCATCCTCCCTTACTCCTTCCCTACCCTCTTGCACCACTTTCCGATCAACCNCTCCTAGCTGCATCCTAATATATTTTTCCCATTCCTCCAATTCTATTTCCCCCCATCCCCCTTTCTTTCTCCCCCTTTCACGACCTATCACTTNCCATACCTGACTTTCCGTCTTGGCTTCCTTAGCCATTCTCTCCCATTTCTCGTTCTCCTCCCTTTTTTTCTCAGACACAAATCCCCATATTTTTTCTTCTCCTCCCTGTATTTTTCCTTACTCCCTTCTCTTGTACGCCATTTCCTCAATTCCCTTCTCACCCTCTTTTTCCCCTCCCTACATTCCTCATCCCACCATCAAAATACATTAAATAAATTAAGTGAATTAAATAAATAAATTAAATAAATTAAATAAATTAATTAAATACATTAATTAAAAATAAATTAAATAACAATAAGTACATAAGTTTATTTATATATGTGTGTTATGTTCTTTATGAATTTAACATACACCACTAAATATAGGGCGTGTTCCGTTTGACCACAGTACGATTCGACACCGATCGATTCGACACCAAATTATTGGACACAATGGACACAGATTTATTCGACACCAATTTATTCGACACCGTACGATTCGATACTAAATTATTCGACACCGTACGATTCGACAC